TCACTCTACGAACTTTTGGTCAGCCCTAAGTGCTTGGTTCAGGTAGCACCAAATCCGGGGTTTTCTAGAAACCTTATTTCAGGGCATTCGGAAGGAAACTTTGCGCTTAGCAAATTAAAGAACACATCAAGAAATTCTTATAAATCAGAGGACAGTTGGATACGATTGGGCGTTTCGGACATAGTTTTCTCATGTAACACACGCATATTAGCAGGTAACAAACTTGTGAAATTAGTAACAGGAGGGCCAAAATAAATGTTCAGCCTTTTTCTTTCTATTTATAATGCTTTTTACAGATATTATAACACAACAGGCTAGGCTTTGGAGTACAACGAAATATGCTCTTTTTTATGATCTACAGGGAAGTCCGTTTCAACCAAATATTAACGGGTGATTGAAAAGTTTTTGCACAAAATATTTGTTCACTTTTGATCCGTTAGAAAGTATCTCCGACTAGCCAAAAGCTATGAGTTAGGACCAGTATTTTGTGCTCTTTTCGGATACTGGCTTAGAAATTTTGTCCCAGTTTTGTTCGAGAGTAGTGAAATAATCTTTGAAAAGTCTAAAAAAGTTGGTTTGGACGGAACTTGTGGGCCGAAGTATTCGATGAACATGTTTGTTCATTCCGGCCTGCTTGAAAGCATTTCAGACAAGCCAAAAACTATAAGTTGCGACCAGAATTTTGTACTCTTTTTGAATATGGGCTTACAAATATTATGTCTATTTTGGTTCACGAGTAATGAGGGACTTTTTGAAAGGCCCGAAAAATTACTTTTAATGGCGAACGAACAGGTTTTTGTTTACCCTAGAAGTCCCTTTTTGAACATACTAAAAATTGTCAGAATCGATCGTTTTATAGAGCGGACACTTCTCTACAAAATGTGATACTGAAATAAGCGATAGCTTTTACCCAAGTGAAGCTGCAAGCATTTTGTCAAGAGCTCCTTTCAGCGAAAACGGGTTTTGGTAAAAGGTCGATTTTTCAAAAATACAAGAAAAACGAAAATTGAAGTGCCTTATTGAAAGACAAAAAACCCTCAAATAGTGCATTTTGTAGGATAGCTTCTGATCTACAAGCTGATATATAAATAAAGATCCCATCTTTCAGTTTCGGATCGCAACAGTGAAAATACAAAACTGCTGAAAACGTTTTCGTCCAAACTAATTTTTTGGGCTTTTCAACGATTATTTCACTACTCTCGCACAAAACTGAAACAAATTTTCTAAGCCCATATTCAAAAAGAGCACAAAATTCTGGTCCTAACTCATAGCTATTGAGTCGTCGGAGACATTTTCTAACGGATCAAAAACATTTTGTGCAAAAGCTTTTCGATCACCCATTATGACACAAACACTGCCTTTGTAAAATTGAGCAGAAAATATCTAAAATTTTGCTTATTTTGCGCATTTTATTCGAATTAAGAACTAGTTATATTCAAATTCCGAAGTTCAGTGTATTACGCATTCATTTCTTTTCAAATAAAAGAAAACTAAGTCACAAGGATTAGTTCTTGGTCGATTTATGCAAATTTTCTGAGGTGCACTTGATTTTAAAATATGTAATAATTCAAAAACATGATTTTTTACAAAATTTGGAAAAAGAAATAATTCATCTGTGCGATAGACATTCATGCAAAAAATTTCTGATATAGTTTAAAGATTGAGCTTTTCAGGCGCTACGAAATCGCTATTTATTTCTTTTAGTGGGTTTCCATGGCTGATTTATCTTCCTGTGTATACTCGATTTTTGGTTTAGAAAGCAAAAAAAATGCCAAATAAGAAAAAATATTCTATATCATTTATAATAGTTTAATTTTTTGTTAGTATGTATCATATTTCGATTTTTGTTAAAGTAGATCACAATTCAATCTTTTTCCATGTTTGAGATGCTCCGCTATTATTTTCACTCTTTTTTCAATTTATGATTATTCTTATGTGTCTATACGATAAAAATGGACGGCAAGTCTTTTTTCTAGCACATCTCCCAAATTAGAAGAATGCAGAACGTTTCTATTTTAAGATTTATCGTGGATGACATTGTTTTATCTCAAAGTTTTCTCATAAATCATCATAAATTAAACTCAGTTTTCTAAGTGCGGTCAAATATCTGTTACCATTACGGTGAGAAAATCCTGTGCTCAGACTTGGACATTATATGGTAGATTGCTCATTTATTTTCAGTTTGTTTGGAAACACTTGATTTACTCAACCAAATAACGTTGTTGTTGATGTTCATTATTGTGAGGCTCGTGCATCGTGGATTCAAATGCAAGTAAGAAAGAAATCTTTGAATTAAGCAAGCAGTTTCTTTTAATTTCTACAGTTTTTTTCTTTAGTTACAAGCTATTTGTAATATCACCAAATTATGTTTTTTAGCGATCGGTCTACTGGTTATTCAAATTTTGAAATCGAACATCAGTATGTTGTACAAACTTCACTCAGATAGCCACATAACTTTTGCCACTCGAGTCCTATGTAAAATCTTTATGTACGGGATACAATATTAATTATGTTATTAAACAAATCTTTACAGTATTACAAGATATTTTCTAGTAATTAATATTGTATTTCGTCGATCGCATGACGAATTTTCTTTTATAATGAGATAGTACTGTAGTTTGTGGGAATATGAACGACGTAGTGGAATTCTAACATCATCAGTCTTCGTGTTCTACTCAAACGAAGACTCATTGAATATTTCATTTTCTTGTAACACTTTTCTTTATGTTTATAGTTCACCGAGGAAGCCTCGTCGATTGTGGTATGAAAGTTATATGGAATAGCATATAATGAATAGAATGAATAGTTTTGCGTATTTCGAATGCTTTTATTTGCAATCGATCTTTTTATCCTTTTTCATTCGAAATACTTTGTTTAGAATACAGAATGACCGTCTGTTTGATTTTGTTGTTGATACTTGTTCACAACGTAATAAATCATTCTCTGCTTCAAACGCAAAATTATTGTATAGCTATTTATTTGTCTAGAGTATTTTTGCCTTCTTATTGAGCATGTCCATTTTACTCTGTCCGTTCATAAGCGCTCTTGGTTCATTTTTCCGTGCACAAATTAGTAATACCACGATAAAACGTATATTAATTAATCATACTTCGTATCAGCAGTTTTTATCTGTAAAAAATTTATATTAAACAAGTTTTTTAAGTTTTGATTGATTGTGAATAGCTCAGTAACAAAGTAGATGATAAAAAGAAAAATGAGATCTGTACAGCGTATTTTACCCCTTGATATCCGCTCATCGAATCAAACACAATATCTTAGTGTAAGGTAAGTAACGTACACGCACTATACAAGTTTTAATTGAGAAACACAGTCAAATTCCTCAGAATAGCAGCGTTTACACAACTATAATAAATTTCTTATAAAACAATAGTTATACAAAGAATATAAAATTATTAATAAAAAGTTAAACAATAAGAAACAAATAAAAAATTAGAACCCTTTAAACAAATCAACTTCAATTAGAAAAAAATATAACACTATAAAACAAAAAATATTCCAAACAGTTCTGGATTTTCTAATGTGACAATTCCTTTACTTTACAAACCTCGAAGGTATATTCAGAGTTTGGGAGCAAAACATGATAAATACCTAATTAAAGCTATTTGGCGCCAAAGTCGCGTTTCTTTTCTACGCTCGAGTCTGTTTCTCTCATAATTGGTAGGAAAAATCTAATTAAAACGTTTTCTCAAGAGCTCATGCTAGAAAATGCACTTTTTCGTACTGAACCACCCGCCAACGGCAAAAAAGTGCTCCCTTCTTGATTTTTTAGTCGTCGATGAGTCATAGATAAAAACTTGTGTGGCTAATTCTTTTCGTCAAATTAAAACTGGAAAAGTTTATTATTAAAAGACAGAACTTCTCTAAAACTCTGGACCGGACTCTTTTTAGTCATTTTGCAGTCGACCTCACTGTTGAGGTGTCGCTGGGCAACAATGGAGTAGAGTGAATATATGAGAAAAAATCTACTGTTCCACAGCAGTAAAACATGGAACTCCTGATTGGTTAAGTGTTGTTTTTAACATACAAATGCACTGTTTTACCATTAATTTTTTGCCAGTCGAAATCAATAGCATCAATAGCTGTAATAAATAGTATTTAGTTGCAACAGATCTCACTGAATAAAATTTTGGCACAGAAAAGATAGCTTCTGACGACTAAAACCTATGACGTCATCAACCATGGCGGTAGGTTTATACTATTTTCGTGTAAAAGAATAGGTCTTTGTTAGTTTTAGGCATGGCAGTCATTTTGAATTTCTATTGGTTAATGCACAGAACCAGTGAAACCTTGTCCCGTTCGCATGATACTACTTTTCAGCGTTGAAATAGCAAACTGACCGCTACAAATTCTTTCTTTTAAAGTTAGATAAATGTGACAGAATGAACGCTGAGCAAAAAGTCCAATATCCGTGTTTAGACGCGAAAATACTTTGGGAGTGGCGCCAGAGTAATGGAGCCTAAAAACAAATAAAATAAAAAAATTTTCTGAATTTTCCTTTTCCAAATTTTATGCTAAGTTAATATAAACTTAATTCTAACGAGGGAACCTTTCGAGGTGATTAAAAGGTTTTTGATCGAATTCGAAGCCAAATAGAAAAGGTTGCATTTTGTTTGTGTTGTATTGGATTTGTGGAATACGTGATCAAAAAACACAGTGGAAAGAGTTCTGTGTACATATAATAATAATCACGTATTTTCACTTCTCTGCCTCCTTTTACAGGTGCATTTTGCAACGGTAATATTTGTCAATAGTGAGATTTTTGAGATGATATGATATGAGATTAGATTTTATCACCGTTACTCGTACTCGATTTGGAACTATTTTTCATTGGTATTAGCCTTGAGGAGAAGGAAAAGAATGTGTTCTCTTTCAAGGTACTATTTGTTCGTCGAAAAATACTCAACAGCATCAGACAGTATTTTGTTATTAACGTTAGTGAAAATTACCTGTTAGTATTAGTTTTTAAACAGAAACAACAGTCAAACCAGATCTGTCTGATTAGCAAAAGACAACGCACGAACCAATTCATCACGAAGTGTGCTACTCGGGATGACAAATTTCACTGGTTCAGAGTTACCATACACAATAACCGTGTTCTCCACAATGGTAATAGCACAATCCGTCTGAAGTGAATGCAAGCTAATAACAGGACACCATTGAGGAATACCAGTATTCACGTACGCCCTCATAATTTTTTCCAAAGGTATATCCCGTGTAAACCAAGCCCCACGATTCCACAATTCCAATAACTTTGAAATTGTAACTGAATCTATCTCAGACAACGCGGACGACGAATTCAAAATTTTTCGAAGCGATTCGTAACCATCCCGATCAGCAACAGCTAATAAAGCGCAAACAACGCTGCTTGTTGCTGCGTCTTTACCCATATTACCGAGAGCCTCACATGCTTCTTTTCTGACAGAAACATTCGCATTCCCAAGTGCGGTCACCAGCGCTCCTATCACTTTCTTTGTTGGTGCTCTTTTGCCGATCCGACAGAGAGCTTCACCTGCCTTCAAACCGACAAAAACGTTCGCAGCATCAAGTGCGATCACCAGCTCTCCCAATATTTCCTTCGTTGCTGCTTTTTCACCCATATTACCCAATGTTTCACATGCCGTGTATCTGACAGAATCTTCCCCATCCCGCAGTGCGATCAACAGCGCTCCGATCACTTCGGTCGTTGCTGCTTTTTCGCCCATATTACCCAATGCTTCGCATGCTGTGTATCTGACAGAGTCCTTCGTATCCCGCAGTGCGGTCATCAGCGCTCCGATCACTTCCTTCGTTGCTGCCTTTTCACCCATGTTACCCAATGCTGCACATGCTTTCCGTCTGACAGAATCGTTGCCACTCTCTAGTGCGGTCATCAGCCCTCCGATCACTTTCGTCGCTGCGTTTTCTCCCATATTAACGAGTGCTTCATGTGCACTCTCGCTGACAGAATCCTTCGCGTCCCCCAGTGCGATCATCAGCGCTCCGATCACTTCCTTCGTTGCTGCTTTTTCTCCCATCCGACCCAATGCTTTACATGCCGTGTATCTGACAGAATCCTTCGCATCCCGCAGTGCGGTCACCAGCGCTCCGATCACTTCCTTCGTTGCTGCTTTTTCACCCATATTACCCAACGCTTCACATGCTTCCCGTCTGACAGAATCGCTGCCGCGCTCTAGTGCGGTCATCAGCCCTCGGATCGCTTGCGTTGTTACTTGTTCACCCATGTTACGGAGTGCTTTACGTGCAGTCTCTCTGACAGAATCCTTCGCATCCTCCAGTGCGGTCACCAGTGCTCCGATCACTTCCTTTGTTGCTGCTTTTTCACCCATATTACCGAGTGCTTCACATGCTCGTAATCTGACAGAATCCTTCGCATCCCGCAGTGCGATCACCAGCGGTCCGATCACTTCCTTCGTTGTTGCTTTTTCAGTGATCTTACAGAGAGCTGCAGATGCCTTCCATGTGACAGAATGATTGGTATTCCCTAGTGCGGTCACCAGCGACCCGATTACATGCGCCATTGCTGCATTTTCAGCGATACGACAGAGAGCTTGACATGCCTTCCATCTGACAGAATCATTCGGATCCTCCAGTGCTGTCTCCAGGGCTGTGATCACGTGCTCGGTTGCGACTGTTGCCCCTAGCTGGCCGAGAGCTTCAGCTGCCTGTCCTTTGACCCAATGATTCTCATCCCCCAGTTCTGTGATCAGTAAGTGTATAAACTCTGGCTGCGGATTGAAAATTGGCAATCCAGTTATTAATTCGATGATACTTCCCTTTGTGTTTTGATTCTGGGTTTGGAGAAGGGTGATGAAAGCTTCGATTAGTTTATTGTCATTTACTATGTAGGGGCTTCTGCGTAAAGTACCGTTTAGGTAGGTGAGTATCTTTGCGTGTTTGGAGCGCACGGCGTATTGTGCGTACTTGATTATGTAGTTCATTGAAGTATCATAAAAGTTTTTGCCATTATGTGCCTCTTCCATACAGGAAATGACAATTTGGATGTGTCTTATGCCCACCAGATCTAATGGCTTTGCTGAAATTGCGTCCCAAAATGTCGTGTGGTCACTGTTCGCGAGAAGTCCGGATGCAAAACTTAGCATTAATCCAAAGCGTCGGTTGTATTTATGGTCTTGGATAAATTCGATCATTTTGTGAGCTTCACTGCTGTTGATCGTGGTAACCAAATAGCGTGCTGCAAAATATTCTTGGAAACTATGGTGTACAAAGTAATGATCTTTGTCTGCTTCGATTCGCGTTCCAGTACCATGAGGATGGGTGAATGATTTTAGTATTCCAATATTGAGTAAATGTGGGTTCTTGGTTAATGAGCAGTTACTCTTCGTTTTTGCTTTTTTCAGTAGGGCTGAGTCTAGAATTATAGCGTTACTTTCCATCCCAAGAAAAGCCAAACTTTCCATGAATGCTAATTCATCCTTGCATTTTTCATAAACTTCGGTTCGGTCCATTATATTGATCTCGTTGACTGGAATTCCTTGTTGCCTTTCTAAATATCGGCGACATATCCATTCGGTCAATGTTTCGTACAGCATCGTCATCGTCATTGTTTTTGTTTCTGACCAATTCGTATTACTCCAAACACTACAAATGAGTTCTAGATTTATCGGAATGTGGGCAATACCCCAAATCCTAGGGTTCCGTTTGAGAAAGCTTAATATTCTTTCATCTTCAGCAGATGAATTCTGTGCTTCATTTTCTATTGAATCGAAGAACTGCTTGACGTACTTGGGTATATTCTCATTCGTAAAACCTGTAATTTCCATGCGCACAGTGTAGGATAAAGTGTTCATGTATGGACGAGATGTTACAATATGATGTGGAGTCTTCAGTAACTGATCCAATAAACTTTTGAGGTGCGCATTTTGTACGATCTCATCGTATCCATCCAATAGCCAAAGAATGCGACTGTTATCAAACTGTTCTTGCAAAAGTATTTCATCTTTTTCTGATCGGAGCTGGTCAGAAGAAAAATACTCTTTTCTCAGAACGTCGACTGCAGAATAGTTTCTACCAGCTGGATAGTTTTGCCCTGTCAGAGAACGCAACGGAATCAAAGCAACCAGTTCGTATTCCGGCCAAATCATACCAGTTGCCCATTGGTAGGCGATGTATTGACAAAATGTTGATTTTCCAATGCCAGCTCGGCCGAACACGAGCACATTCCTTGTCTGATTCTTGCATGTTTTAAAAATGTCCTTGATATCTATTGGAGTCTTAATGCCATGGATCTCTTCGAACACATCCATAATCGCACCACTGTGCTGAGAATCACCAAGTTTCTTTTCTTTTTCTTGATGCTCTTTGGTTTCCATTAATGCCAAATTGATGTAACTTTGTTCGATCGGAAAAGATGCGGCTGGATTGATGAAACGTTCAATACGACTATTTCGCTTATATTCATACTTAACCAGTTCACATAGATAACTTGGTTGGTGAGCTCGTTGTGACAGTAGATATTGTGACGCTGGAGGTTGTTCTTCTATTCGATCGATCAGTTCTCCCACCGTGCTTTGCATGGTTGATGATTCAGAGACGTTGTGAAAGTCGATGGGCACGATGTCTCTGATTATCGACTCCAACCAATCAGAAGGCTTCCATATTTTTGTATCAGTGTGCATACATGGGATGATTCGTATTTGCCGTTTCTGTGCATACTGTAATTCAAGTTGACAAAAGTCTGATTTTTGATAATTCGGGGTCATGAAACAACAGACGACAGCAGCACTTTCTACTCCTTCAGCCAAGCTGTGAAAAAGAACAGTACAATTCCAGCGTTTCAACAAAGGAGAATAATGTAAAAATTCATACCTTGTCTTTAGATTATTCATCGTTTCTTTTTGTTCATTGAACCAAAGTGGTATATGTTTGAGTTGTAGATGATGATAAATGTTGGATACAGTTTCTTGACTGTTCGAATCATAAGATAACATGACGTGTTTTCCTGGGGGGATTGTACCGCTAAAATATGTAAATTCAATATTATTGAATGGCTCAATAGTATCCATTAGAAAATTTGGTGCTTGCTCCGCGATGAACTAAATTGGATAAAAATTGGGTGCTAAATGCAAAATTTGTCGGTGAATCCGACAGCGGGTTCCTTATAATTATATCTTCACTTCTTTTTTGGCGTCGACATAATCAACGTGGTTTTTTCCTAAATTTTATTTTTCTCATTGGCGCCTTTTTTTCAACCAATGAGAAAAATAAAATTTAGCCAAAAACCACGTTGATTACGTCGACGCCAAAAAAGAAGTGAAGATATAATTATAAGGAACCCGCTATCGGATTCACCGACAAATTTTGCATTTGGTGCCCAATTTTTATCCAATTTATTTCAGCGCGGAGCAAGCACTAAATGTTCTAACGATACTGAAAGCTCTACTGTAGTAGCAATTGGTAAGGTGGTACCGCCACATCTTGAAACTACTAAACTGCGTGAAGATGTGTATGAACATGTTGACGTTCTCAAGTGACCAAAATTGAATATGTTTCGATGATAGCGATATCCATTCTACTTTAATACTATAATGCTGGAGGGTTGCGTCAGTCTCACTCAGATCCTCAAGTGTATTGATTGGTTCTATCATTTTCATGAAGCAATTACTTAGGGCTGACCAAAAGTTCTGGTAACATTAAATAAAAATATAAAGATAGGGAGATGTTTTTAATTTTATTTTATCAAATGTTCACGATAGTTGTTATGATTATACATGTTGAACCTGATATCGCTGTTTGCTTCCATATTTCATTAACAAAAGACTTTAGACAACTTTCAATATAATATTTGTGACCTACAGTTTTGCCTATATCTACGCTATGTATAAAAATAGAACAATTTGATTTAAAGAATATACAAAACAAATTTTTGGTTCAAATCTGTCTCCATGAACAACAGCCTTTGCTAATTCATCTTCATCAATCCAGCTAGCATCACATGACTTGCTACCAACCTGTCTAAGATAAACCAATATCTTATCACTAGTGGTACTGGAACCTAACTGATACGATTTTCACTAAATTTTAAGACAAATTCTTGAAACCGACCAGGCAAATGAAATATGATGTGTTGATGAGGTTTCCAAGATAGCTAAAAATTTTTTAGAAAAAAGTGCAAAAAAACTTTTAATAAATTGTTAGAAAGGATTGAGCTGGCTATAAATAATCATAACAACTGTCGTGAACATTTCATAAAATAAAATGAAAAATAGCTCTTTATCTTTATATTTTTATTTAATGTTGCCAGAACTTTTTGGTTAGACATAAGTGCGAGCAGAAGACAGAATTTCTATAGGACTCCAAGGTGGCTAGTTAGAGCTTTTCAGATCTCATGACAGACAAACTGAAGTCAACGACACTTGTGAAACACGATTGGAAATGTGTGTTGAAGTATATAGCAAGAAAAGTGAATCTTCTCATGGACCGTGTTCAGCACAGCGAGGGTCCTCATGTATAATGAAAGCGGTTCCGTCGTGTTTCACATTTTAATCCCGTTGGGGTTACACTGAACGCTTTTTCCTGTAGTTTTTCATTTCCACATTTTATAACAAAATATTCAATACATTTCTCGTATAGAACTGTACGATCCATCTTATACAAGGCCAATTATGTTGAAGATCTGAAAATAGGAGAAACTATAGCCAAAACACTCAGAGTATCAATTGTTATGAAACATTGGGAAAATCGTAGCATTCAATGCTACGATTTTCCCAATATTTTCCCGATGAGCTTGACAAGAGTTTAACTTCAGCCTGAAGTTAAACTCTGGTCAAGCTCACACTTTTCGATCC